TCTCTCTCTCTCTCTCTCTCTCTCGTACTGGGGATTGAACTCAGGACCCTGCGCTTGCCAGGCAAGCGCTTATTCTACTGAGCTATCTCCGCAGCTCTGTTTTTTTTAATTTATGTATTTGGTACAGGGTCTCACCACACAGCTCAGACTAGTAGTGATCCTCCTGTGGTCCCCCATTCTAGCGCTTGCCTAAGCAGGTGCTTAGTTGACTGAGCCAGCTTGCTGTCCCCCAAAAGCCTTTTTCTCTTCATGTTGATTATTGTAGGTGTTTGTTACAGTGACAGAATGCTGACTAACGTACCTGCCTCTCTGTGGCCTCTATGAACCATCCTTATCAGTTTTCTATCAGTGGATTTTATTTGTCGCCACAGTTTGACTGTGGAGCAAACCTGCCATGGGTGGGGTTTTTTTTAATTATTATTTATTGATATAGGGTCTCCCTATACAGCTCAGACTCTTAGTGATCCTCCTGTCTCAGCCTCCCCAGTGCTGGGATCACAGGCATGCGCCATCATGCCAGGTTTTGGGGCTGGCACAGCGTGCCCAGGGTTCCTAGGCTGGCATGGCATGTGGTACAAGGGACTGAAAGTGGGTCCTTGCACTTGCCAGGCAGGTGCTTGGACCGCTGAGCTATCTCCGTGGCCCCTGTGGTTGTATTTGTGAGGACACTTCTCTCGTGACATCCTCACCTCCCACAGGTTTTGCAAGAATATTTTTGATCGGGACTACAAGGCCACTATTGGAGTTGACTTTGAAATTGAGCGCTTTGAGATTGCTGGGATTCCGTACAGCCTCCAGATGTAAGTGCCCGTGGGGTGGTGCCACTCCCCGTATGGCTTGAGGGTGGGCTGCCTGGAGTCTCTGGGGTAAGGTCTTGGACGGCCTCTTCCATGCTGCCTCCTGGTGCTCAGCAAGGCCTTTTCTAGCCAAGCAGGACCTGGGCTGGTTGAGAAACAAGGTGCTGTGGCTCCCAAGTCTCTGGAATGCTCTTTGGCCTTGACAGATCAGGGAAGGCCTTCACACCCATCCGTGATGGCCCTGAGGCCTCCTCCCCGCCTGGACCTCCTTCCTGTGATCCTGCAGGAGGCAGGTGGGCTTTGGCAAGTTGTTGTGCAGACGGGGCAGCTGTGAAGTGGGACTGGATTAATCCTGTGTGCCAGGCTTGGGTGAGGAGGGTTTTGACAGAGGCCATACCCTCCACCTCCTTCCTCAGGCCTGCCGCTCTCATCTTCCCCATTGTACCATTCCTCAATGGGGAAGTAACTGCCGCTCCCCCTACTGTTCTTCTTTCCACCTTGCCTCCCAACTTACTGAGAGAAGTTAAATTTTGACCTGTTGACTTTAAGGATGGGTTAAGGAGTAGATTTCAGACTCCTTCCTACATATGGACCACCTGCCTCGTTATATAACAGAGCAAATACCTATCAGCCTTGTGCTGTCACATTTTCTATACTGTGGTTGTGGCAAACAGCATTAATCTATTGTTGTGTTGTTTTCCATGGAGCTTTTAAGTTCTTCTTGCTATATTGCTCTGGAGAGCCAACTAATGAGAGTCCCCCAGGGGATATAAACCGTGTCTTTGTGAGGCTTCCCCACCCTTCACCCAGGAAGCTACAGTGCAGACGGGGCAGCAGTGTCCCAGTCACACAGGAGCAAGGGGTAGAGCCACAGCCCAGAGCCCTAGCACCACTCAGAGTAAGCAAACCATACCACAGGGTATATGTTCCTTTGTAATGTCACAGAAAGGACTGAGCTGCAGCTCCACTCATCTGGCAGCAGAGCTGCTGATGCTCCCGAACCCGAAGGCATGGGAATCCAGCAAGAGAATCCCCCCCGGGGCACCCCAGAGGGATCATCAGGAGCTGGAGGCAGGGTTAGCTGGCTCACACAGCGCTGCCAGAAGCCCACACAGCTGGCACAGCTGGTGCTTGTCTAGGAGTCTCCCTCCCACCGCCTCCCCAGCCTGCTGACTTAGTGATTGCTTAACCTACCACCACTGTTTTCCTCTCTCCCTCTCTGTGGCTCAGCTGGGACACAGCCGGGCAGGAGAAGTTCAAGTGCATCGCATCTGCCTACTACCGGGGTGCGCAGGGTAAGCAACTGTGTGATGGTGGGGTGTTCAGCAGGGGCCTCCCCGCTGGACCCAATAGCAGGAACCTTGGGTCCTCCATGCAGGTACCGGTTTTCTGGTGTCCACTGAAAAATCACCCTAGCCGGTGCTTGGAGCTGCCTCCAAGCTGGGGCCTTGGCTACCTTTGGCCATCAGTCACACCCCTTGGGGGTCTGTTGTGCCCGATTTTGGCTGTACCCCTAGGCCCTGGCTTTTGTATCAGAGAGATTCTCAGAGGATATGTTTGTCCAGGGGTTCTGGGAAAGAAAGAACATCACATTCTGAGAGGAAGTGGGTGGAGGCTGGGACTGGAGCTAAGCCAGAGAGGAGGAATGAAAGGTGGACTGGCAGGACTGGCAGATCCCAGATTGGGGTTCACAGGGCTCAGTGCCCACTATCAACATGACCAAGTGCAGCCTCGGTACAGGGCAGGCCTCGCAGCAGAGACGGCAGCATAGGCTGACCCCAGCCTTCCAGGAAGCGGACAGAAATGCCTTTCAGTGGGATATGGGAGAACTGTCGAAAGGATCTCAGACCAGACTCAAGACACAGTTACAGTAGTAGCTTAAGAAGCACCACAAGTTTCATTCTGGTTTGAAAGGAACAAAAACAGGTACTAAACCATGAGTACCCCGGCTGAGGATTGGGACTTCCACTGAGCCACATCCACCGTGGCCTCCTTCAGCTGTGGGCTCGCCAGGCCTCTCTCTTCCCAAGGAGAGTCTGCCTCCTCAGGGCTAGAGCTGCCAGGCGCCTGCCACACCTCTGCAAACAGCAGCCAGCCTGCCATCACCTCCATATCATCAGTGACCTTTTCTCTGTTCCTCTCTGTCCCAAGAGCATCGGGACTGTCTTGCAGTCATTAGCCTCAGGTGGAGGAAGCCACTGTCCAGCCCGCTCACACCCGCAGGCATCAGCAGAGGATGCTGTAGCTGCAAGGCAGGGCCAGTGACAAGAGGAGCTGACAGCAAGGCCGCAGCTCTGTTTTCTGACCGTCTTGAAGTCATTTTCCTTAATCTGGTTATTGCTGATTGTCATCACAGTGGCAGCTGCCATTGACTGAAAAAGTCTTGCCAGGTGTGGCTGCACATACACCTGTAATCCCAGCCCACTGGGAGGCTGAGGCAGGAGGATCACAAGTTCTAGCCTAGTCTGTGGAATTTAGCAAACTTAGAGCAACCTTGTCTTAAAATAAAAAAATAATAGGGCCAGGGATGTAGCACATTGTGAAGGCTCTGGGTTCCATCCCTCTGACCTCAAAAGTATTAATTTTAAGAATCTGCCCTATGTCGGCCCTTGAACTAAAAACTTTTCAAAATAGCTGCCTTAAAATAAGAAAAGAAAAAAAAAATCCTTTGTTTATCCTCTCAGCAATCCTGAGAGCCACATGTATCATGCTCATCACTCTACAGATGGGGAAACTGAGGCTCTTGGCATTTAGGACCCTCTCCCAAGCTCCCTTGGCTGTAATGCAGAGGGTCCCTGAGGCCAGAGTTCACATGTGCCAAGTTTGCCTCATCTGTCCTCCCTGGATTCCACTCTGAGGCCAAGCTCTAAGGTCCAGCGTTCAGTGCCAGGGCTCACCTGGAAGTTCCTTAAGACCTCAGGAGGTGCTTGGGGTGGGGTGGGGGCTCTCCTTTGTTACTCTACATTGGCCTCACCTGTCACTGACTGACTGCTGGCTTTCCCCCATGTGTCCAGTGATCATCACGGCCTTTGACCTCACTGATGTGCAGACGCTAGAGCACACCAGGTAAGTAACCCCAAGCTCTGTGACCCCTGCGGGGCACCTGGGTTCAGGAAGCTGCCTGAAAGGCTCTGCACACCTAGGCCACTGGGCTGGTCCCCTTCTGGTAGTTTCAGGCTTGTGTGTTAAGGTCAGCTCCCCATAAGTTATTTATTGTCCTGTTGCCTCCTTATCCCTCAGGGGGGCATTTGTACTATTTCACCAGGCTGGTGCTCTGAAGGCCCCGTGTTTGTTTTGCTCTCCTGCTGTCACACCCTTGGAAATCCTCATAATTTTTGAATTAGAGATCCCAAATGTTCACTTTGTCCTGAGCTCTGATAATTTTATAGCCAGTCCTATCTGAGGGACATGACTTTGGCCCCGACTATCTTGGGCAGAGATATAAATGATGTGACCAATTCTGAGAGGCCATCCTGCTGTGTCTGTCAAGAATCTAATGAGTGGACCAAAGGCCTCCTCACCCCCTCACCTGTGCTTGTTTGGGACATTCACATCCAATTTCATCCAAACCCAGTGAGGGATACAGGGGTGATCATTCCAGGTGTTAAAGGTGTAAAGGTTGAGGATGGGTCATCATGACTTGACCCATGTTTTCATATTCTCAGCCCCCTTTCATCCCACTAAGGCCAATCTGGCTGCAAGGCCAGCATCCCTCTTAGCCACTGTGGGCCAGGGGCCTCCCTCTGCCTCCTAACTCACTGCTTCCAGCCCTGAGAAGGATCTGAGTCTCTATCCCCTCTCCTGGGCTTCCTCAAGCCCCAGGGTGGGTGGGTAGGTACAGATGTCCCTCAGACGATCTCCCCTCTGGACATTACAGGCAATGGCTGGAGGATGCATTAAGGGAGAATGAGGTGGGATCCTGCTTTATCTTCCTCGTGGGAACCAAAAAGGACCTTCTGGTGAGCGGGCAGAGCTGGAAGCCTGGGTGCCTCTTGGGAAAATGCATGTTGTGATCACAGCCCAAGTGTGAGGAATGCCATGTGGCACTGACCTGCCTGGCATTGGCATTTAGAGATACCAGGCCTTAGAGCTACGGGTCAGGGGAACTCAGGTTCCCTGTGCTGTCCCCTAAGAAGGGACTGCTGACACTCAGATTTGCCTGAGGACTACTGAAATGTCACCCCTAGGCATGCAACATCTAGGCAGTGGGACTGCCCTGCTTCCTGGGGGGGGGCAGGGGCTAATGGGAATGAGGGTGGGGAGGGTGGTACCATGGTGACAAGAGTACAGCTGCCACCCCAGGGGCCACCTGGAGGAGGGCCGGGCACTGGGTCAGCAAGGGCTGCTTCTCCCAGTCAGGGGCAGCATGTGAGCAGGCAGAAGCAGAGGCTGTGCACCTGGCCAATGAGATGCAGGCTGAGTACTGGTCAGTGTCAGCCAAGACAGGTGAGTGGGGCAAGGGCGTGGCAAGGGGGGGCAGAGGCTGCTGTGTGGGGCCCAACGTGCTGCGCTGTGGAGGTTCTTGCCTTCTGTGTGCTAGGGACTGGCAGCACATTCCATTGCTTTACAGTAGTCTACTCTAGGACACTGGGAGGCTTGTCCCATGGAAGAGAGGAACAGTGACCTTTGACCCCTGGCAGTCCTGAGCAAGATGCCCAGCAGGTCCAGGCTTCATCCAGGAGGCAGCGTGATATTTCTATCTCTGTTTCTGTCTCTGTCTCTGTCTCTATCTCTATCTCTATCGCTATCTCTATCTCTATCTCTATCTCTATCTCTATCTCTATCTCTATTTCTGTCTCTACTTCTATTTTTCTTTTCTTTCTCCTCTCTTTCTCTTTCTCTCTTTCCCCAGCCCATTTGATTCTAAAGTAGGGTTTGCTGGGTTATCCAGACTGACCTTGAACTTGCAGTTCTCCTGCCTCAGCCTCCCAAGTAGCTAAGATTAAGAGGCATGTGCCACTGCACACAGTTTATTTTTAATGAGAAAATATTTTTTTTATTATAAAGACTATATGTATTTGCTGAGGAAAAATCAGACAGTGTAGAGAAGCAAAGAGCAGACTTTGATACACAGGTTGTGGGGGAGATAAAATGAAAGAACACTTAAGATGTGTTACGTGCCTGTGCCAACTCCCACGATGAATGTTTATGGACTATACATATGGAATAATAAAAAAAAAATAAGTGAATGAAAACTGCAGTACTGAGCACATGATGGGTCCCCGAGGTTCAAGGGACTCAGGGTTGGGACCACTGGCCCTGGTCCCTGACAAGCAGGCACAGCGGGCATTTGGCTGGGGACTGAGAGTTGAGTGTGGAAGTACCACCTCCTCACTACCTCCCACAGCCAGCAGTTTTCAGGTCTGGTGCTTTCTGCTCCTGCTTCCCTCCTGCTCTCCCAGATTAGAGTAACAGGATTTCACTGATACCTCAGTATAGGCCTCCACACTGGAGGCTGCGATTGTGGTGGATGTGGGAACCTGGCCTCCCCCGATCGCTGGAGGAGGATGCTCAGACTCCATGTAAGGGCCAACAGCACATGGAAAGTTGTAGGCAAGCAGGCACATGTCTGTCTTGAGCTCTGCCTGGCCCAGTAGATACTCCGGAGCCATTGATTAGAAGAGTAGATTGAAGAAACAAAGGCTCAGAGGTCTGAGGGAGTGGCTAAGGCAGGCAGCCTGAGTGGGGGTGGGGCAGAAGCCAGACTTTGGAAGGTCCTACCCCCAGCACTGTGCTGTCCCTGTGGGTGGGCAGCCCTCACGTGTTGTCATTACTGTCAATGATGCTGTAGAAGGAGCCACACTCCTGCCTGAGGGTGGGCTGCCCGGCCCTGGCACCCAAATGTGACCAGAGGTGCAATTGGGTCACAGCTGTCCCCTGGGTCCCCAGGAGAGAATGTAAAGGCATTCTTCAGTCGTGTTGCTGCCCTGGCATTTGAGCAGTCAGTATTGCAGGAGCTGGAGAAGAGGAACAGTGCACGGCCCCAGGTCGGCGATGGAAACCTCATCCGTGTGTATAGGCGTGGCTGCATGGGCTGGGAAAAGCCTGGGGAGCAGAATCCACATGTTCCATCCTCCCGTCACCCCAGACCCAGCCACTTCCTTAACTTGTTGCCCTCTTTGGACCCTCTCCAGTGGGTTGTGGAGGCTGTAGCCTCCCTGGCTCCACTTGCCTGCTTTGGCCCTCCCTAGCCTCCGTATAACCTCCTCACGGGCCGCACTGTGGGTGCCAGGCTCTGCAGAAAGACCTGGCTCTGGCTCCGCAGGCCTGGGCTTTTGCCCAGTATGTTCTGGGATACAGAATATTCTGTGGGTCTCTCATCCTGTGCCCATTTATCAGGGCCTATACAATAGGCCTGGGAACTCCAGCTGAGGGCCAGACCTATCAGAACAGGGGCAGGCCCTACCAGTGTCAGGTGCAAAACACTTAACTGATGCCACCTTTTCTTCTCCTTACAGGAATGGAGGAAAATTCACCCGAGACCCAGGACAGCAAGAGGCCCTTTAGCCTAGGCTGCTGTTAGCTGGGCTGGCACAGATGCCCCCCCCCACTTCCTGTACATGCATGAGCATAGGCTTCTGTGACCTCGGAGGGGTAACGTGGAGCCTGTCTCCCACAAGGTGTGGAGGGCCTGTGTGTCCGGGGCTTAGCTGTCGGATGCTGATGCATCCTACACTGCCTGCTTGGGGACCCATACAGCCTGGCTAGTGGGAACACTGCAGTGAGGACCCACCTGCAGGGTCATCATTCAGTCCCCCATGGCCTTGAAAGACCTCAGGACTGTGAACTCAGGACACTTCTGCCATGGCCCATGTCCCTCACCATGGCACTGTTTCCCAGAAATCCTAGATGTGGCTCCGGAATCCTTCTCATCACAGTGTTCCGGGCAACCAGGACTTATCAAAATTGGCCAGTGAGAACAGCCCTTCTGTTGTCTCCCCTGGGATTTTCTGTTATCAACAGGACACGTGGTTCTGCATCTGAGAACTTGAGGTCTCCTGTCCACTGCCCCTCTGTCACAGACTCCCAGGTTCCCTGGGCATCCCTGCCTCTCTCAAAGGCAATGGACAAGAGGGTCTCTTGCATCTCTGAGACCCCCATGGTGTTGCCTTCCAGATCAGTGGGTCAGGAAGGGCTCAGCAAGTCGCTTGCGCCCCTGATCCATCTGAAGGATGTGTTATCCTGGCCGTACTGTGAGGTGAAGACTGTACCTCGCTCCTTGGGTGCATCACTGTACATCCATTTACCTTGGCACTGCCCTGTGGACCCATACCCTTGTGTGCTGTTGCCTCTCCAACCTCTTTCCCACTGGCTTGCAGGTCCTCAGGACCTGTGTAATGGTGTCCACACATCTTTGGAGGACTTTGGAGACTGTTCAGTCTAGCATGTTCTTCCTGACCACCAGTCCTCCTGCACAGCCAGTGCACACAGGAATACCCTCCGCACGCAGCTCAGTGCCCAGAGGGTCTGCCCTCCTCTCTGCCCCCACGTTGCTCCTCCAGGAGGTTTTCCCTGATACCTTGTCACTGCTATTCACTCCCCCTGCTGCTGTGGCCATGGGTATCTGCCCACTGAACCCCACTCTCTTGCCAGAGGTAGGTGGGTACACGTGGCATCTCTGCGTCTCAGAGATGGTGAGCATTTTTCGGGCAGCCTGTACCCATCAGTACCCTTCTAGTCGCTGGCACGCCAGTTGTGCACCATGAATGTTCACTGAATCATAGCAATTGCCAAGTACCAGACAAAAACACTGGCATGTTTTTCTGTTCATTATTCCTTTGCTATATTTTTAGATCCTGTAGATCACTTGTTTGTATACAGTGCTTTAAAAAGAGTTATGTGCTTAGTGTACAACAAGAAAGTATGAATCCTATAAAATACAGATTAGAAGTGCCACCTCTGATGGGTCAGCTAAAGTGAGCACATATACTGAAATCTGATTGGTCACATGCCAGACATAAGGATGGTTAATAGTTGGTCCTATTTCTTTTAGGTTGCTTCCCTGGGTGCAAACCACTGCATTTGTTAGCTTGTTTCTCCAGCGTGACCTGGCGTTGTACTTGCTGCCTGACAGGCTACTTTCCCCCAGGGCTGCCTGCTTTTTTCCTGTGCATACGCACAGCCCCCTCACTGCTTTAGCAGCTGCTCAACTTCCTCGGTGTAGACAGACTGCACTTCACTTAACCTGCCCCATACGCAGGTCATTTAGTTTGTGTCCTGCATTTAGCGTTTACTGATGGTGCTGCAATGGCCATCCTTGTAATTGTAGTGCACACTCAGGATTCCCAGAGGATGTCCTCCTGGCCCAGCCCACAGTGGAGGAGAGGACACACCAGGGGTACATTAGGGAGGACCATATTTGTTGGATGCAAACGGAATGAGTGGCCAGCCAGGATGGACCAGAATGGTGGTGGAGGAGAGGTGTCCTGCTGTTACCAGCTCCTAGGCTGGAAACCGAGTGTCTCATGCACTACCAAACTTCTGTCAATAGTACTTCATTAGCCCTTGGGCTGGGGAAATAGTTCAGTAGTCTAAGTGCCTGCCTGGCAAGCACAAGGACCCGGGTTCATTCCCCAGTATCACATGCCCTACCAGCCCTGTGCCGAGGCGACCACCAAGACCAGGGTATGGTGGCATACACCCCTATCCCAGCACTGGGGGAGGCTAAGACAGGAGGATCACTATGCGTCTGAGCTATGTAGTGAGACCCTGTATCAAACACATAAATAAAACTCTCAGAGGGCCGACCAAATAGCTCAGCAGATTAAAGTGCCTACAAGCAGTCACAGGGGCCAGGAGTTCAATTCCCAGGCCTGCTGTGCCGGCCCCACCCCCAGGGTGTGCTGAGACAGCAACTGAGACTGGGTATGGGGGCGCTTGCCTGGAATCCCAGCACATGGGAGGCTGTAAACAGGAGGATCACTGCGAGTCTGATCTAGTAGTGAAACCCTGAACACCCTGTAGACCCTTCCCTAAAATATAGAAGAAAAAAAAAAAAACCTCATATTGCCCACTGTGGTGTGCCAACTAGTTCCTGCAGGCCTTGTCTGACAGTAATTATCCGTCCAATTTCAGTATTGACCCAGAGATGGGAGCCTTCGTGCCAGGGAAAAGCAAGGCACTCACTGCTTCCCAGCCATTTAACGCCGTTGTCTTAGTGTACTTGTGCTGCTACGATTGAAAACCACAGACCGGGTAAATTATGAACAGAAAAGGTTTATTCAGCTTGTGGTTCTGGGGGCTGAGAGGTCCGAGAAGCTGGCATCCTCTGGCAAGGACCGTCAGGCCACATCTTACCATAGTAGGTGCACCAGAGGGAGGTGAAGAGGGGGCCCAAACGCACCCTTTGTAACAAACTCAGTCTTGTGATGAATCCCAACGCATTCATGAGGCCTAAACACCGCTAAGTAGGCTACACCTTCACCAACATTTGCATTGTGGAGTAGTTTCCACGTGTGTTCTGGAGGGGGACATTGAGACTAAATCAAACAGGCTGGGGGCATAGTTCCGTGGCAGAGTGCTTGCCTGGCACGTTGTGAGTCCTGCATTTGATCTCCAGCACTGAAGGAAAACAAAAGCAGCAAGCATCTTCTCAGACTCACTTATGTGTAGTTCCCACCCCTTCCCACTGACACAAAGACCTGCTCTTTGGGGGCTGTGGGTATAGCTCAGCAGCACAGTGCCTGCCTGGGAAGCATAAGATCCCGAGTTCGATTCCCAGTTCCAAAAAAAAAAAAAAAAGAAAGAAAGAAAATCTACTAAAAGCAAAAAAGCCATAGACCATCGCAACATTCCAAATGTCTGGGGCAGAGAATCTGTGAGTCTCATCCTGGAGGTCCAGGAGAAGCAGCCCCCTGCACCAAGGCCCAGCAGCTATATCCAAATGCTTCGGGAGCATCTTTTCCCTCCTCTGGTTCCCTTAGCTCCTTCTTTGCTCATCATCTATCTCTCCACCCTTCTATTTGCCTATCTCCCCTGCTAGAGACACCTTCCTATCCCTAGCCTACAGATGAGGAAACCTACAGCTGAAAGGATGGGACATGTCTGATACCTCCCCCCAGGCCCCCCCCCACCTCTGCCCCCCTCTCAGCCTGGAATCACACTCTAGTTGGCCTTACCCTTGAGGCTCTGTGTCTCTTATACCTGTGTACCCCAGTTGGGTGTTCCCATCCAGGGCCATCCAGGAGAGCCAAAAGAACAGCGATTTCTACCCTCACTACTGCAAAATAAATAATAAAATGGACCAGGATGTATTTGCACAACCACAGTGGGCCCAACCACACCCTTCAGGATCGACCAGCCAGCAGAGACTTCCCCCATCACACACTGCTCCCTATTCCCCATGGGTACCAGGTTGCCCTCCCCAAGCCCCACAGGCTCTACAGTGACCACAGCAGGGTCCTCACTCAGCCTCTTTCCATCTATTTTTTTTTTTTTTTCCAGGACTGGGGATTGAACTCAGGTCCTTGCACTTGCCAGGGAAGCACTTATTCTACTGAGCTATCTCCCCGGTCACCCTCTTTCAGTCTTCTACACAAGTTGGACCTGCTTTGGCCTCCTCCCCATTCAGCTTTGGGGCCTCTGGAGTGGATAATCAATCCAACTCACACTTAGCCCACGACATGGGTGAGATCAACTCCCAGATAGACCTCAGCCTTCAGGAAGGCCCAGGCTTTACCCTGAAACCTGAGACTGCTATCACTGGGTAATAATATAGAGGTGGATTGGTTAAATTCACATGGTCACCATTCACTTATCAATTTTTCCTCATTCAGGAGTTCCTAGAGCCCCCTTTCTAGGCTGGGCTCTATATTTTTTCATTTGCACCTCCCATAGGTTACCCAGAAGGTGTTACATTTCACAGGTGAGCTGAGAATCAGGGAAGGAACCTCTGGGGCCACATAGGTGCAAGCTGGGATAAGGAGACAGTTCTGTCCAACACTTACAATTCTGTCCCGTCCCCCCCTCCCCAACACACACCTGGAGACAGACGTCAGGGAGATCACATCGAGGATATGGAGCAGGATGAATGGTACAGGTCTATGATCCCAGCACTGTGTGAGGCAAAGGCAGGAAGATCAAAGTTTGAGCCCAAAGGGCTAGGGAGATGGCTCAGTGGAATAAGCGCTTCCCTGGCAAGCACAAGGGCCTGAGTTCAATCCCCAGTTCTGCCAAAAAAAAAAAAAAAAAAGTTTGAGCCCACCCTAGGCACTTTGGTGAGTTAGCAGTCCCTGGAAAAAAATTTTTTAAGTGCTGGGTGATGTAGTAGCTCAATGTAAAGGCCCTGGGTTCAGTCTGTAGTATTGCAAAAAGAAAAAAAAAATTAAAGATAAGTAAAAATAAAATGGACCATGATATAGCTCAGTGCAAAGGTCTTGCATTCAATCTGTAGTGTCACCAGACAGAAAGAAACAGAGAAAGACAGAGAGGCAGAGGCAGAGGCAGAAAGGCAGAAAGGCAGAGGCAGGCAAAGGATGGTAACAGAGGTCTAGGTCACAGAAGGGAAGATTTTCAGGAGAAACACATAGCTATGAGAGTAATCCCTTCTTTTCTGGGCAAAATGTGAGTCTGGGCCCCATCCAAGAAGCCACAGCTTCAGGCGGTGCCCTGCAACTGGACCCCCTCTTCTGGAAGCTCCCAGGCTCCTCTGCCATCTGCTGTGGTCTCCCCATATCACCTGCCATATGTCTGGCCTTCCCCTGAGGGCAGTGGATGGGCAGATGGGAAATGTGACTGTTAGACTGCCTCCTTCCAGGCAACACAGATCCTTCCCAGCCTCCTCCCCCTCATCCAGATGCCTCCCCAGCATTCAGGGCCACCAGCCACCTGTCTGAGCCTGTATCCCAGGTGCGTGCAAAGCCTCTGCCGCTGGGCTACTATAGGCAAGCCTTTCATTCAGCTTGCTCGCCCCCAGCCTTCTAGAACACATGGTGGGTGGGTGGGGAGGCAAAGCAGGCCTGAGGCTCCTGCCCCCACATGTGGGGGGCAGTGCTGGCCTGGGGGTGCTCTGTCCCTCTCATCACTGGGAGCTGGAGCCTAGACCATTTCACTGGCTATACCTCTAGGAACAGGCTCATCTCATCTTAGCTCCTCCTCTCCCTGCAAAGGCACTTAGGAAACTCCCCTGGGATCTACTGGCTGTAGGAACTTCATTAATAAATGATTCCAAAGAGGCAGGTGGAGTCACAGGAACCAGGAGTCTGTAAGACCCAGGCCTCAGGTTTGGTCATTCAGAACTGCTGCAGCTCCACCAAAAGCACATCTCTCACTGGCAAGTATGGCTTACAGA